CAAAGCTACTGGTAGCGTACTTTAAAACGCACAAATGCATTACCCAGCAATTGATTTGCATTAGACAAATTTCTATGTAACTTGTGTAATTAGAATTCTTCTAATAACAATGGACAAATTGATACATGCCCAAAAAGGAAATTTAATCAACTACTGAAGGTGGGACTATAATAAATTATATAAAAAAAAATTATTTTCGTTATTTTTAATTAGCATTAGTGCAAAAAATATTTTAGGATTGTATCGGGTTCACAAAAGGCCGGCCTCAAACTAGTTTAAGAATGTGACCGACGGATCTGGAATACTTGAACCAGTCAAAAAATAGAGCTGTTAATTTAAAAATAATGTTTCAAAATAAACGTTAAAGATTCTATATTATAGATAATACTAGTTTTTAATTTTTTTTTTAAAAAAAAAAAAATACATATTTTGAGCAACAAAGGATTGTGATTTAGAAGAACACAAATATCAAACATATTTAAGTTAATTATTAACATGTGTCATTTGTAGAAACGTCATATGTTGTTTGCGATTGGTATAAAATTTTTAAAGAAATTAATCAATTACAGTTAAATTAAATCAGTTATACCTAGTGATGTGCCATTTATATAATACCTGAATTTTTTTCGCGTACAGTACGTATAGTTGTATAGTGTGTATAACATACGTAATATACATCATAAACGTAGCATTTGTAAATCAGTTATTGCAAGGAACAATTTTTGTTAGAGTGCGAAGGACAGTTTCATAGTCAAAATTTTGAGATAGGGATACTGTAATGATTTGTTCTAGAATATTCTAAAAAGAAATTTGCGTACTGTACTGTACGCGGCACATTTCTAGTTATACCCTGGGTACTATGTGTATAAGCGGAAATGAAATTTTCGCTTATACCCAACTACCCAGGATATAACTATTATTTATGAGGCAATAAACTACTGATAATAATTATTTATTCACCATGTAATTTCTATCTAACAGGATCTCCTTAACATTCACCCCAAACTCAACTATACGTTAATTATGATATAAATTTTACAACTAAATTTAATATCGTAAAATATTAAATTTGATCAAAAATTCCTCACGATTAACTTTATATAAACGATTTTTAAAGTGTGGCTACGGAGATATGGTAAAAAAAAGTTCAGGCTGCATTGCATACTTCATAACCATCATGTGGTGTTACGAAAATTTTTGTTAAATATTCTTCTTGCATGTAATTTCTTTATTATTTGCTTTATTATTCTATACATAATTTGTCATACACAGTATATTTGATAGTATTGGTCTTTGCACGGGTTAAAAACCCATGACCTAGGTTTCAGACCCCAGATCCGGGTTTGAGACCTTAAGTTAGGTTTTAGAACCCAAACTCTGAGTTTGAACCCCTTGCATATAGAAATGTATAAATATGGCACCAAAATTAATAAAGAGGTAACACTTTCTGCCAAGCATTAAAAAATCAAGTGTGCGAAAATATACGTGATCACTAAAAATAGAGTGATACATTTACCTGCGATGAATCTAATAAAGGGCCTTGAGTAACAATACGTGACCATTTTCATTAAACCTCAATGCCCTTGTACGTACATACGTACGTATTCAATTTACTGTCATTATAGTTCGACATAAGGTAATAGATCGACTACCAAACCCGAAACCGTATAGATTGGCATACCTAAAGAGGTACAGTGCATACCTATTATTCAGCCTTATCAAAACAATCTACGTGTTCTAGCGAAGGTCAGCTAACTATACCACCTACCACACGTCTATGTTAGTGGCCTACACTGAAATTGGCAACAATTAAAGAAGTCTCTCCCCGATTACAACAGTGCATTGATTTGTGCCTTTATTCAATACCACATTACATTTCACTACACTTGTGAAGTGTAGCATGTGACTTTAACCCTTGGGAGGTACAAAAAGCCAATTAGAATAAAAACTTTTATAAAATTTCTTTCTTTATGGTTTTGTTTTCCAATTATTTTAGTGTACTTATTTATATGCTAAAAAATATACAGTTTAAGGAATAAGTTTATATAATTTTCCAAATATTTTTTTCCAAATAATACAAGGTTTAGTCAAACAATGAAATGCATCATAAGATGTACAACTTCGGAGTAGTATATCCGATTCTCAGATTATATAAATTCCGACAAATTCAGATTATATAAATTCCAACAAATTCACATTCAAGTTTCAAGCTATAATAGATTTTTATATTGTAATTCAAGGTAGACATTTTTAAATATCTAAGAGAATAAAAGAGTGCAGATATGCGTATATTCTTGATAAATCATATACTTTACATTTTTAACTTCAGGAAGGGAAGAAACTTAACCTAATTAAATGTGAAATTTGACAAAAAAACCTTGTCATAAATTTGCTAGGTATTAAATATAAGTAACAATTTAACTAGTATATTAAGAGAAATGCAGATCTTTGTGAAAACATTGCACGGGACAACCATCGTTCTAGAAGTAGAGCCGGATGATAAAATTGACCAAGTTAAACAAAAGATTCAGGATAAAGATGGCATCCCCCCTGATCAACAACGCTTAATTTTCGCTGGCAAGCAATTGGAAGATGGACGAATCTTGTCAGATTATAATATCCAAAAAGAATCTGTGCTGCACCTTACGCCTAGATTGTGTGGCGGAATGTTTCATGAAACCAGCGGTCGTACAGGATTTGATGAATTACCACTACTTCCTCAACCTGAAGAACGTACGCATTCACAACCCGAAGAACAGGAAGCTCCACGAGTTGAAGTTCATGATGGTAATATTATGGTAAACCCATAATAGTCAAGGTCATTTAATAATCATAAATTAATTTTCACTTCTAATCGTATTTTCCTTCTCATAGATAAAAACGAAGAAGAGGATAATAATATTTACACGTGTTGTATACCATTATTTAACATGATAAACCTTTTAAAAACCGGTAAAAAAAAGGCTGTACCAGCTAATATTCCGGAGAGTTCTGTTACCGTTACTCCGAAACTTCCGACCACAAAAGAGGAGTTATTAGCACTATTACGTGAGGAAGAAAGACGAAGGATGTCACCTGAATTACAAGAATCATATCGCAAAGTTGGTAATGATCCTACTTGTGGAAAAGATTGGATGGATATTACTGATCAGATGCAACATGAATTGGTTCGAGAATTTGGCTATTCGGATGAGGCAGTACAACTAATGCGGCGTGCACCGCAACTTTATCCAGGTGACAAGCATATCTACTATTATAAATATGCTTTATGTGTTCAGAATTTACGTATTAATTTTTATTAATTTCACTTGGCGTACAGATGATCCTGAATTTCGTACCACTCAAGTATATGTTCGTAATAATATCGCACACATTGGAAACCTTAAAGAAGGAATGCAAGCACCAGACTGTCCTCTTATTCCACTGAAATATTCAGACACAACGGTCCCAAATGTGTCCATGGAAGATTCAGAAACGACAGTTCCGAATCTAGCTGTGGGATCAACTGATGATACAGATTCACCAAAATCAATTTCTTTACGCTCTCTTTGTCGATCAGAACGGCCTCTAGTTCTCCTTGCTGGCTCTCATACCTGTCCTTTATATCGATATATTTCTCATGTGCTTAATGATATGTATGATCGATATCGAACTCGAGTAGATTTCTATATGATACAAATCAGGGAAGCACATGCTAGTGATGTTTGGCCGATTGGTAATATTGTAGACGTCAAAGAGCATAAAACATTAGCCGATCGTTTAGCCGCAGCAGACGAAATGGTTAAAGCGACAAAGTTAAAAATTCCAGTATTGGCAGATACAATGGATAATACCTTTTTAAAATTATACTGTCCGTGGCCGTTCCGCTTTTTCGTCGTTGTAGATGGTATTTTAAAGCTTGTTGGAATGCCAAAAGAGGCTCGTTACGATACTACTGACTTAGTTAAATGTTTAGATACTCTCTTAAAATAACAGAATAAGATATAATATTTTTGTATTAAATTATCGTTACTTTTTGCCATTTAAAAAAATAATTTATATAAATGCGTGTGTTCACCTCTATTTCAACTTCTCAAAAATCAATGCCCAATTGTCAGCAGCATTTGATTACCGAACCAATTTTTTCTAAAAAAATTTTAATTGTTATAAATATTTCAGATATATTAAATTATTCCAAGTTCCATGATATGCCGCAACTTTCTTTTTATACCAATACCAGGAACAAATGTAATTGTAAATATGAATTGATCTGTGATTATGCGTGCTACGAATTAAGCATTGTAAGCTTTCAAACTTTGTAAACTATTGAAACTTGGAAGTGAATAAGTTTCCACTGTATCGAGTTTAACACTGGAAAATATAGTATATGATATTCGGTAATCATTTTTTTAACCAAAAACATTGAAAATTATAATTCGGATGATAGTTCTTTTTCGCGTTGCAGAGCAATGACTTTGCAAATGTATTAACTTTGCATATCTATCTAATTATTTTATCGTGTATATTCAAGAACGTCATTAACAAAGGGAATTAATAAATCAAATTATTAAAAAGTTTTTAATCAAGAACGTTATAAACATTGATAGATTATTGTGAAAATTGATAGATCACTCACAAAAATTTTCGGAACGTGGATTTCAGGTGTAACGTAAAAATCAAAACAATCGAATTAAGCAAAAGATTAAATCAATAAACCACGTCTTTAAGGTTAAGATTAAGGCCAAAGGAGGGGCATGGTTTATACCAAAATTTTGTAGGAACGTTTTTCTTTAGAACGCAGGAGGCAATTTCATAGACAAATTTCGGGTTATCGTTTTGTTTTAAAAATAAAAAAAAATACGTGATTTTCATGTTACACTTGATTCTTCGATCGGCTGAAGATCACGTTCAGAAAATTTTTTTGTGGGTGAACTACGGGCGTTGTTGATGCCTATACAATCAGCTGATTGTCGTCTGATTGCGTGACTGTAATGTGCGTTGCTTGGTGGAATATTCAACATATATTATTTTTTAACGGTATCTGTATTCATTAAAAAATCATTGCGTATAATCGTGCAATTAGGTAATAATCAGATGATTATATAGGTAAGTTGCGATCTACTAAGTGATCAAAAATATATCAATTTGCAAATTGTAATAATACATTATGGATAAGCATAATTTTTTTAAACTTATCATTATCTGAAGATTATGCTTGTGCACTATAAAGAAATTTTGTGTAACGTATAGGATTTAAAAAATAATAATTAAAATAAGCGCATTTAATGCACAAACGAAAAATATATTGGCTTTTTTAATAAATAAATAAATGTGTCTATTTGGCTATTTTATATTTTATGCGTATTAAATCACAGAATAAGCATTAATTTATCATGGAATTACGGTTCATCACATAATTTTCTAAACTGCACGTAGAATTTGATTTTATTTGAAGCAAAAAGTCATCGTTCCTGATCAAAACTGTCTTAATGCCGGCTGAATTAAACGTTAAACAATTAAAGGAATATTAGGCGATCATAATATCTACAATAAAAAAGTTCCATACATAACATAGTATAAATGTATATGTAGAATAAAGAAAAAGAAACCCGTATACAACCATAAAAAAAAAACAGTAATTATCCATTGTCAAATCTTGCAATTCTATGTCAATATTTAAAATTGACCGCCATACTGAATAAGCTTGCATCCGCTACTGTATTCGTCTGCATAAGATTTTTCGATATTTTCAAGTCTTAATATAGAATTATTCAATTCTAATAAAATATTTTCGTCCCTTTGCCATTTCATACAAGTTTCATAGAGTTTTTTGGCTGAAGGTCGTTTTTCAGGTTCTTTATCCCAACATTTTTTCATCAGATTTACATAGCATCTTGGAGCTTCTTTGTTAACGGGTGGTCGTAAATCATCATAACATATTTTTAGTTGAAGCTGACGTTCTGTAAATTTATGATCATAAGATACAGACATTCCGTATAGGATTTCCCACATTATCATTCCTAACGAATAAATATCTGATGCTGTAGTGTATGGTTGACCAACTAGAATTTCGGGAGCAATATATGGCAGAACTCCGTCTTTCTTTTGTTCGGAATTAAATTTTGATAATCCAAGATCAGAGATATACGCGCTAAATAAATCATCTTGTAAAATGTTTCCACTATGTAAATCTCGATGGATATATCCGTGAGAATGAATTGATTCTAGGTTAGAAATAATATATTCTAATAGTTTTAATTTATGTGTCCATTTCATTCGAAATATGTCTTGAAGGTTATCTCGTAAAGAGCCTTTTGATGCATATTCTAAGACAAGAATATATTCTTTGGAATCCGGCTTTTGTGTTATTCCATACCATTTCAGAAATGAAGGATTTTCGTATCCGATTTTACTATATGCTTTTAACTAATTAAATAAATTAGTCATATAATCAATTGAAAGTAGAATAATACAGTAATAATGAAATTACCTCATTTATAAATTCATAATAATTTGTTTTGTGCAACGATTTAAGGGCAATTTTCGATTTCATGAAAAGATTGTGGGACCAATCAGCACGATATACTGTTGAAAATCCACCTTTACCAATTTCTTTGATATTCTTAAATTCATTGTATGGAATCCATAATAGTAGATGGTATTTCTCATCGTACAACATTTCTTTTAAATCATCATTTAAATTATTTAATGTAAATTCGTTTTGTCTCCTATTTATATAATTTAGTAAACTTGTGTTAAATATAAACATATTTATTTAAATGTACTTACATTCGATACCAATAGTCAGCTAGTCGTGAATCTTTAGTTACTCCGGTTCCAGATAGAAAGCATGAACGCACATTATATATTTCAAGAACATTGCCCGCATTTGCGGATTTCATGTACCATTTAAACGCTTTATTTTCATTCTTTTCAACTCCAATTCCATCTTCATAGCAATTTCCAAGTTTGTTCATTGCATAAGAATTGCCCATATCTGCAGATTTTTGATAATAAATGAATGCTTTATGTTCATCCTTTTCAACTCCAATTCCTTTATCATAATAATATCCAACATTATATGTTCCATCAGCGTTTCCCATCTTTGCAGATGTTTTATAATAAATGAATGCCTTAAGTTCATCCTTTTTAACACCAATTCCATTTTCATAACAATATCCAACTGCAAATATTCCATTAGGATTACCCATATCAGCGGATTTTTGATAATAATTAAATGCCTTATGTTCATTCTTTTTAACTCCAAATCCTTTTTCATAAAAATATCCAACTCCAAATATTCCATTAGAATTACCCATCTCTGCTGATTTTTGATAATAAATGAACGCTTTATATTCATCCTTTTCAACTCCTTTTCCATGATGATAAAAATGTCCAACATTCTGTGCTCCATCAACGCTCCCCATTTCTGCAGATTTTTTATAATATATGAATGCCTTATGCTCATCCTTTTCGATTCCAATTCCGTTTTCATAACAGTATCCAACATTACATGCACCTTTAGTATGCCCCATTTCTGCAGATTTTTGATAATAAATGAATGCCTTGTGCTCATCCTTTTTAACTCCAATTCCTTTTTCATAATAACATCCAGTATTATATGTTCCTCTAGCGCTCCCCATCTCTGCCGATTTTTGATAATAAATGAATGCTTTACGTTCATTTTTTTCAACTCCAATTCCTTTTTCATAACAATATCCAACTCCAAATACTCCATTAGGATTACCCATATCAGCAGATTTTTGATAATGAATAAATGCCTTATGTTCGTCCTTTTTAACTCCAATTTCTTTTTCATAACAATATCCAACTCCAAATACTCCATTAGAATTACCCATCTCTGCTGATTTTTGATAATAAATGAATGCTTTATGTTCATTCTTTTCAACTCTAATTCCATAATGATAACAATATCCAATTTGACTTAATCTCTCGGCATATTTTTGGTAATTAGTAAAAATTGCATTATCTTTATCCCTTTCAACCCCTAACCCGTGTTGATAATTGTGTCTAAAGTCATAAGGACTTAAATTGGTTGATTTTTTATTATAAGTCATCGAATTATTATGGCCGAGTTTACTTTTAAATCTGAATAAAAAACGAAAATCGGACTTATTTAAATATAAATACAATTAGGTGAATACACAGCAAAACAATGTTTCGAGTATACATATAATATATATATACTATAAAGTTTTCAGTGTAATGCCTCAATTGCAAAATGTACATACTACTTCGCAGCGCAGTCGAATGCGTGTGCACTTGTTTATGCAAGTGATACAAACCCAAAAAGGGAAATTGGCCAATTGGGAAATGCAAAATTGATTATTCCGACACGAAAAAAGCGAAATACAAGGGACACTAATTAAAAATAACAGGGACGAAATGTTACTTTGAGCTAACTCCTTTAATATCCTAACCTTAAATTTATAATTAGTCTAAATTTCCAATTTTACAAACTTAGTTTTATGAGTTTCCCTTTTTTGGATTTTGCCACTTGCACAAATATTTCTGTCGACGTGTGTTACAACTTTTCATAGAACGTTATTCGAATTTTCGACTCAAAACTTTGAAACAGCAGGGTGGAGTACACATATAGTCAGTGCTATTTATTTAAATAACATTATGATGAAGTTGTTTTGATTAGAGTTAGGACTGCCATTATATGTAAAATTGTGACCCTGACATTTTTTGTTAGTGCGCCAAGATTGATTAAGACTGTCGTTTTCTATTTTTTTCGTATTTTTCATTTTTTTGTTATCCTGAATGAGCGTCGTCATTCTGCATAATTTAACATAATGTTGACTAATTTCGGAAATTTGCACTGCATCCTGCTGTTATCCAAAACTTTAATTCGCTTGATTTTCTCGTGTTTTTATATTTTATAGAGTCCAGGCCAAGAATTGAATGTTTTGCTTTTGTAAAGTTGCTTAGAAATGTTAATTTGCGGATAGACATTCCTTTAAGAGGTT